GCACCCAACGGGAAATTTTGGGAAAAAGACCTGAAAACAACAACAAAGCGTGAATAAAGCTTTCTGAAGCCATTTTAAGCATTTTGGGAGATTGCTGGGAAAAACGTATCTGTTCCTCACTCTCAGCAAGACTGATGGAAGCGTTCCCAGCCAGCAAGGTGCACATACAACCTGCAACCAGACTTACTGGGAAGTTTCCCAGCAGACTTACTTCCAGACATTACTGGCCAGTTTGAACTAGTTCGGGTGTGGTCAAAGGGCAACATTCAGTCCTTCAATGGAGGAGGGAGGGAGGCACATGAATTTAGATGTGGCCTAAGGGCAAAATTAACCCTTCAGTGGGGGGAGGGGGAGGGGGGAAGAGGTTTCTGAGAACAATCACATAGCAGCTATTCTATACATCAAATCCCCTCAGACACCCTAAATTGTTCATTTGCCAGGAACCCTTTCCTTCCAAAGACAAATAATTTTTCCACAACCTGCCAGCCAGCAAAACTTTTCCTGTAGAGCATATATTTTGAGGAACAGATCCGTTGGGTGCCCCTGAAGCTTACGCATGGTACGGTGCAGTTCTTCGAAAGTAACGAAAGTGAGATTTACCTGGAAAACTACCCAAAGAAGCATTTAAAAGAACATTATGGTATTTTTTACAGTGGCTTATGCTAGTAGTTTATGATCTATGACATCATCGTATTCGAAAACCTTCCTTTTCGTCCGCCCACACGCAAATGAGAATCCGGCGTTTTAAAAAAAAAACTCCACTCTGGAGTGGAGTTTTTTCTGGAGTGAAAACAGGCTTTTTCGGTGCCCGAAAACTCCGTATATGTTTGGTACGGAGGACAAAGGCTAAAACGGAGGAAAAAACTCTCTGTTTTCAAAAATATTCGGATACTTGTGGACGTGTCATAAATCTTTATCAGTCATAAGCATTTAACAGTAAAGCATATCTAACTATGAATTTACCTCTAAAGAGGAGAGAAATAGTCTTCGATCGTTATCACAATCATGTCACCAAACAACACTTTCTGTAGCCTGAATCCAAACCAAACACAAAATTGTGTGTTATTACCACTGTTCAAGGTTGGAAAGGTAACATTTCAAAAGCTATTTCTTCGTCAGGAGCGAGTTGGCTTCAAAAAATTTAGT